TCATTTAAATTTTGTGAGCCCTCCTGTTCAAACAATATTTCCCCAGGAGGCTTCCCTCTCAGAGGACGGTCGCTCCCTTGTCACCTTAGAAATTCAAGAAATGCTTCAAAAGGGGGCAATTCACCTGGTTCCCCCATCACAAGAGACTCCAGGGTTTCTCAGTTCCCTCTTTTTAGTTCCAAGAAAAGGGGGTGGTCAGAGACCTGTAGCAAACTTGAAGCCCCTAAACCAATTCCTTTCTTATGAGCACTTCAAAATGGAAAGAATTCATATGGTGAGAGACCTCAGAAAAGGAGATTTCACGATCAAGATCGATCTCAAAGATGCATATTTCACACTCCCCCTTTGCCAAGAACATCAAAAGTTTGAGATTCAACTGGGAGGGCATTCTCTACGAGTTTGCTTGCCTCCCCTTTAGTCTGTCCATTGCCCCTCGGGTATTTACAAAAATCATGAAAGCAGTTCTAGCTCTATTAAGGCAGCTGGGCATCAGATTAATCATTTATTTGGACGACTTGCTCATCATGGCCCATTTGAAAGAAATTCTGAATTGTCATGCCTCAACGACTTTTCATCTTTTAGAGAATTTAGGTTTTACGATCAATTATCTCAAGTCAGTTCTAATCCCAGCTGCAAAAATGGAATTTTTGGGATTTCTCCTCAACTCCCAGGCAATGATGCTGGCTCTGCCAAGGGACAAAGTCAGAAAGGTAAAGAAAGAATGTCAAAGTGCTCTAAATCACCCTCAGATCATGGTGAGAGAGCTGGCCAAAGTGTTAGGCAACTTGACCTCTACCATTCAAGCTGTCTTTCCAGGTCCCCTCCACTTCCGCCACTTGCAGGGAGACAAAAACAAAGCCCTTGCTCATCTGCGTTCATATGACTCCCTGGTTCAGCCTTTCCCCCAGGCATTAGAGGAGCTAATATGGTGGAGGGACAATTTAGATGCGTGGAATGGGAAGAGCCTCGTATCCGCACCTCCGGATCTCATAATAGAAACAGATGCATCCCGCAGGGGCTGGGGGGCCTTCTGCATGGGGGTTGCTACAGGAGGTCAGTGGTCCCAAGGAGAATCTCGGTTACACATCAATTGTCTCCAGCTCCTAACAGTAGCCTTTCCAATACAGACCTTTGCAAGACCCAAAGCTCAAATAAAAGTTGGCCTACTAATGGACAATGTTTCTGCAGCCCATTACATCAACAGAATGGGGGGAACAAAATCACCAGTCCTAGCCCGTCTAGCCATAGATCTATGGGAATGGTGCTTGCAACACAAAATTCAAGTAGAGGTGCAGTATCTTCCTGGGGTCTTAAACATAAGGGCAGACAGGGAGTCCAGGGTCATGTTAGATCTTCACGATTGGAAATTGGACCCATTAGTGTTTGCGGAGGTAAATCAGTTGTGGGGGCCCCTAGAGGTGGACCTGTTTGCATCATGTCTGTCAACCCAGCTTCTTCACTTCTACAGCTTGAGACAAGACCCTCAGGCAGAAGCAGTGGATGCTTTCTCCGAAGACTGGAGCTTGGTAAACGGATACACATTCCCCTCTTTTGCACTCAGGCAGGTGCTTCAAAAAGATTCTAGATCAACAGGTTTTCTTTCTAGTTCTAGTGGCACCTGTATGGCAAGCTCAGCCTGGTACCCCTTGTTCCTAGAAATGTGTGTTGCCCCTCCAGTTCTCCTTCCACAGTATCCGGGCCTGGTAACTTGTCTGGGGGAAGTACACCCCTTCTCAAACCTACAGTTAGCCAGGTGGCTACTGCCAAGCAATCCTACTCTGAGAAGGGAATTTCAGAAGGGGCTCAAAACCTCTTGGTTACAGCCTGAAGGGGACCTCATCAGCCTATTCATCAGCTTGGGGAAAGTGGGATAGCTGGTGCCGTAAGTGGGAAATTAATTCAGTTCATGCCCCAGTACAGGCCATTTTAGAATTTCATACCGATGAATATAATGCAGGGAAAGCTTACAGAACGCTGAACGTTTATCGTTCTGCCATCTCAAGCACACATCCCAGTATTGATTCAGTGCAAGTTGGGGAACACCCATAAGTGGTTCAGTTATTGCAAGGTGCCTTTAATCTGAGACCCCTTTGCCCAAATACTCAACTACTTGGGACATTGATCCAGTTTTATCCGTTATTGAGAAGTTGGGCCCCGACCAATCCCTCTCGCTTAAAGACCTTTCCCTGAAGTTGGGTTTTCTATTAGCAGTCACCTCTAAGAATAGAGTCTCGGAAGTAGTGTCTCATGATCTTAGGTTTAGGCATTTCTTTCCAGAGGGTGTTTCCTTTCAGTTGCCTTTTTTGATTAAGAAAACCAAGGTTGGACAGAATTTGAAGACCTCCTTTCATTCCAGTTTCCGTAGTAATCCCAACCTTTGTGTCGAGCAATGTTTGAAAGAGTATGAAAATCGCACATTGCCATTCCATGTAGTGGACCCAGCTAAGCCTAACAGATTATTATTTTCCCATATACGACCTCACAAGCCTATCACTTCTGAGACACTCGGTAGATGAGTTAAAGAGGTTTTAGCCAGGGCAGGTGTTGACACCAATATTTTCAAAGCCCATTCAGTACGGGGGGCATCAGCTACAGCTGCTCATAACAAGGGCGTTTCCTTAGAGGATATCCTTCATTTGGCCGAATGGTCAGCACACAGTATGTTTAGACGGTTTTATTACCAGCCAACTCACAATCCTGGTCCCGCTCGTTCCCTGGTTAGCACCCCTTATGAAAAAGACACAAGCCCACTTTAAAGTCACATTGTTATACGAGACGACTGTTCTGAAGTATAATCACAGATTATGCCAGGGCTGCTAGCAGCCTGCAGTATAAGATGGATTATACGAAGATAAAGGAGGTGAATATAACAATGTCCCTCCCACCTCACCCTTCTGTTATTGGTTGGGCTTGTGTCAATCTCTTCATTGCTAACCCTTTTCTATTGCTTCTTCTTTTTTCTCTCTACAGGTTTCCCTATGGTTAAGCCTTTATGTTATGTTTGATGCTCTTCTTACTTGCCCCTTTTGGACGATGCTCAATAAAATGGCAAGGAGAGGAGAAGTGCGCAGGGACTTATGGGACTTGGTTTATGTTAATTTTCAACTATGTTCCGGTTATGCTTTGAACATGCTGTAAGTACTATTGATTCAGAGCGAACTAAAGTTGGTTACAAATTGTTATATTCGCCTCTTTTATCTTCATATCATCCATCTTATACTGCAGGCCGCAAGTGGCCCTGGCATAATCTGTGATTTTATTTCCTTGATAACCTACATTTTACAGTTGGACTGGTCTGTGCAGAGCTATGCTAGTCTAGGCGGGTCAGTCGCCCGATCAGTCTTGAGAATAACCAAGCTTTTTTTGAAAGCCAGGTATCTGTCTCTGAGGACAGCATTTGCAACCAATAATTCATCCACCATTCTTTTAGCGCGCACTTTAGTGTTGCCTCAGAGCATCAGGGAAAAATCTTATGGATACATGTTCCAATCGATTATGCTCGGTTGTGTACAAGCCGTGATTTAGCTGAATTTTTCACACTTTAGCTTCACGACTGTAAAGTTCATTATTCAATCAAATGTTCGGGAATCAAACTAAATCGAACACCAAAGTTTGTGTGACTTTGATTTCCGAAGCAATCGAACTCAATAGAACAAATTGATGCTAATCAAACCCAATCCATTAGATTGTGTCCGATTGAGTTCGGCAACTGAAAACAATCAAACTGTAGTTCATTGTGTTCGGTGAATTAATGTGCTCTAACAAAGTATATGTGATCTGACTGCCGGTATTTGGTTACTGTGAGTAAGCGAAACGAGCAAAAAAGGCAACATTGTGGAAATTATGAAAACATGTTTATTTCTTGTTCTTAAATCCAATGAACACAGAACTTAGAGCGTAGGCTAACCGTCTTGGAGTCCGGGCAAACTGGCATCCAGCGAACTGGCTTTCACATTAAAAGCAAAATGACTTCAATTCGCCGAACTCAGTTCAGAAAGTGAAAGTCAGTTTGATTGGCTTTGATTGACTATGCTTGGATTATGTGCTTGGGGAGGTTGAAGCCGATAACTTGACAAGCCTGGCGTTCTTGGTCGTTTTTCTTGACCAGGCAACAATCTTCATGAGTCAGGGAAGGGCATTTTAAATTATCCTCTCTCGTCTTTCCTGGGTGGCATCGTTTCAAATGTTTGTCAAGCCATATAAAATAAAGGCCAGTTTGTTTACAGCCAGGAAATTGGCAAACTGTCCATAGGCATGATTGAGTTGAACAATAATTGACAGAACTAAAATCAAACTTTATAGTAGCATTGTTTACGGGTTGCCTAGCAACAGAAGTGTGGGACTCGCAGCCACTGAGTTGATTTACATAATGCCAAATTTAATATATCATGACCTACGGCAACACTGGTGAACACTCGTTAGTGTCCTTCACACTTGTATACATAATAAAATCTGGAACGCAGTTATGCCATAAACACTTTATATCTTTGTTTTCCTTAGACGCATCATGACTGAAGATCACCGCATTGATTAAGTCACACTCACTAAAGTGACATTCAGAAATAAAGGAAGGTGGGTAAAGCAAGGTGGCATCGTCTTAAAATACATGGAGGCGGCAAACACCTAATTAAGGTCATTTGTTTTGAAGTTCAACAATTGTATAAAAGGCCTCGCAAACATAAAACTGGATTTATAAATCGCTTATAACAGTCTGTGATTGAGCATTATGCTAAGAAACATGAGTAACTTTTATGAAGTGTCTAAAGTGCTCGACAAGGGAAGCGTACCAATGCCCACAGTTCCTTGTTCACTTGTTCCTTGTTCGATTATGAGAGGAAGTACGATTGTGAAGCACCCATTGCTTGCAAAGATGTGATGCGGAAAATTGTTTATGGGAGAACTATTCCGAAGGTCTTATTATACTGAGAGCAGAACAAAAAAGCCCAGAGAAACCATCCCAAGGAGCGCGCAAGGCTAACGAAAGTTGATTGTATAAATACACACAGCGCGACTCATTATAAGCATGATTTACTGTATCAATTTGTCAAACTGACCGTGAAAGAAACTAAAGAGTCCGTGTGTTATCATGTGTGTTCTGTAACGACAACAAAATAAACTGAGAAATTTTGTTATTGTTTTGTCGTTTTGTGTCATCGTGCTTTCACTACTAAGATCTGGATCAAACGCCGCACTTCACATTACCTGAACCCAATTCAACCAATTAGGCTCATGTGAAGCCGGCACTTGACCCGGGCCTAACTGGCACTTGAATTGTAAGGGTCTGTTTAATGTCCATATTTCATTTATCAACGGCATAGCTTACATCCCAGGAGCTGGTTGCATAATAAATAAGATTTTCATGGTCTGGGCAACTGGCACTCTCACTGTTGAAAAGTTCCATTTCATAACAAGAGTCGCTCAGTTTTTTTTCAGATAAACATGTGCTCCTGACGTCAAGAGATCTAAAAACACTGTGAAATAAATTCTTGGACATCCGCAAAGCTATGAAGTTATTTACCGAGGTTATTGTGAACAGGAAAAAAAGCGCGCGAAGACTTCACCCAAATATACGAAAAATACAATCTATCTCGCGAGTGGTCTCTTGATTAATGTGATTATAATCATACGTATAATACCATGTAATACCCACGTGTATTTGTATGTATCCAGGTTAGCTTAGTATTTTTAGTAAGGAATGGCTTGCCATACAATTCAGCTTTATTGCTTTTTGTGTAACACTCGCGTCTTTTGCTGTGCACCTTAAAATAGTCCACAACAGAATATGGAAACGCCTGCAGAAAAATGAGGGTGTTTACTACTCAAGCACAAATGGAAGTACGATCATATTACCAAAGACTTCAAGTCACTCAAATGGCTTACTATCGGCAATAAACAACTTTTAAGATTCCTTTATGGTCCACAAGTGCCTGAATGAGTGACAATTATCTCAATCAAATATCTACATGTAGATTAGATCTCCACGACAGAAACACACAACATAAAAGAGACTTAAACCTGCTGAGATGCAGATTAAAATCTTTAGCCTAAAGAGGTGCTGCATGTTGGAAGAGACTTCCCAAGGACCTTTAAAGAGGTAGCAGACTAGAATTTGTACAAAGAGACTTCTCAATACGCTTATAGCTCACTGACTTAATTGACTTACTTTAATTTAATGTTAGTTTTTACTTTGTTTAATTGTCATGTTTTGTGGCTGAAAAGCTTCAATAAAAAAATATGTGTTTGTAAATGGAATTATGAAAGGTTTCTTGTTTGTGTACCTTTAAATTTTTCCCAAATGTTGGCAGCATTCGGTTCTCAAACTCGTGAAGCAGCCATTTCTTTCTGACAAACAATAAAGATCGCGCACAGTCCTTACGGTTAGTGACATAGAGCTCTGGGTCGAGAGAAAACCCTGATTTCTGATTTCCAGTCATCTGCTGATTTCCCTTGCGAGGAACACATCAATTTCACCGGTGAAGTCACTGAAGAGAAGCTCGAGAAAGAAAAATGGAAAATCAAATACAAACAGTAAGACAGTTTATGTTGGCGACAAATTTGTCATTTAACTGAGGTTCAAAATTGTAACATTTATTAAAGCCCGCAAAAATTGTTCTTTATGCAGCTTTCTTTCACGGATGACCAAGTCGCATCCTTCATGGAAGAATTGGTGACCCTCATAGAGGGCCACCTAGCAATTTTGGATGCTGCAAGTAGAAGCCACTTGTATAAAGTATATCAGATTAAAAATCATAGCCTGTCTCTGGGACCTCTTATTCATACATAAAAAGAAATATATCACTGTACGGCCCCATTTATATGGTCTCGGGTAACCTAGACAACCCTTCCCCCGAATTACCCTGGCAGAGGTAACTTT